TGTTGAGAGAGCGTGAGACTGAAAGAGAGTGACTGAAGACAAAAAAAAAGATTGAGAAAGAGAACTCTAAAGGAGCTGAGACAAAGCTCTCGCTCTCTCTGTCGCGCTCTCTCTCTCTCTCTCTCTCTCTCTGCGTTCGTTCGTCGACCACCTGCAGCACCTCCACTAAAGATGCATTTAACCCCTCCCCCCCCCCCACCCCTGCCCGATCCTCCCAATCTATCACTTTGTCATTCCGTGTGTGCGTGTGAATTCTCTCAATGTTTCGATGTTCTCAGATACGCTACTGAAACGCAAGCACGAGTTTTCTTCCTCTCTCTCTCACTTTCTCTCTTGACACATGTCATTTCTCCGCGGCGCCGATTCAAGTGTGATCGTCATCATCCCAAATGTGAGCGCACAGGGGTGCAGGGGGTGGGGGGGGGGAATCCCTCGAAGCCGCGCCCAGGGCTACACATTTCAAAGGTGTAGGACCGTGTAGGACGTGATTTCTTGATTTCAATTTGTCACGTTACACCAGGTTGTCCGACTTGAGCTAAGTCAGCTAAGTCTGAGATGTCCGCAGAAGCGAAGCGAAAGCCTCAGGCCAAGAATGGCTCTCGGGCTCTCGGCTCTCGAGTTGCAAAATGGCACAGTTGACTTGACTAGGTTCACCGCAGCGAAACCATCGGGACCACATCCAACCTCGCACTCAAAAATTCATGTTCGCGCTCACGGGCAATTGCGGCAATTCCCGAAACTGGCAGAGACGTTTTCACTCCCGTATGCAGGTGTCTGCAAGGCTTTTAGCTTGATAGCTGTTTCGCCTACAACGCCTACAACCTCAACAAAATTCTGGAAATGACGACGGCGGGGGCCTTCTCGACCGGTTAAAGGCACGAACGTTTTGAGAGTCCCGTAAACGACCAATGCACTTCCTCGATCGCACCGATCGCCCTTAACCGCCTTAACCTCCGAGGCAGCAGCCAGCGGGAGGCTCGTTTGGAGGCCCGTCCTCTCGGCACTGCGGGCCACAACGCGAGCGAAACAAGACAAACGTAGTTCCTCCAGTTCCTCCTCACCTTAAAGAAAAAGTTCGAACACACTCTCTAGTGCCTATCGTATAACTATCGTATGACTATCATGGCGTGCACAATGGACCATACGCTTTGGGAAGCTCTGGGCTCTGGGCACCCGGGCGACGCGAGCACCGCCAGCAGTAAGGCCACGATGGCACCTCTGGTCGAAGAAAATGTTCAGCGTCATTAGTATCATTAGAGTCATTACCTTCACGCCCCCATTTTGCCCATTTTGCCTTTTCTGTTTCTGCTACGATTCGGAATATGATGGGGAGTTGCTCCTTGTCTCCTTCTCTGCTCCCTCCTCCTCTCCCCTGCTCTTCTCCTGCATGTTCATCTTCTGTCTCGTTGCATTCTTTGCATTTCTTTGCCTGCCTGCGAGGAACGTGTAGGTCACCAGCCGGAAGAAGCCAAAAGGCCCCAGCCAACCCCCTGGAGGAGCCTCGGACAACAAGCGCACGTCCCCGATAGAACTCTTAGAGTGCATCGTCTACATCGTCTACATTAGTCTACATCTGTGCTGAAATCAAATCATGAGTCACCTCGGCCCTCCTTCCCATGCGGGAGCTGCAGTCCGAGGCTCTTCAGAACAAGAGCGTGCAAAAGATGTGAAAAGCACTTAGGCTGGACCGACCACCCTCTGGGACCTTCCCCTATGATGGACCCCCAGACGATTACTCGGTTTAGGCCAACAGGCCTCACATAAGAATACTGTGCCGCCATGTGCCGCCTGGGCCCGAGCAGGGAACTTAGAAGCCAAGGAACTGGAAGGCCACAACATTGGACCACCTCTAGGCATGAGACGGGGGCAACAAAGAGTTCCGAGGTTCCAAGGAAGCCTCAAAAAACGGAAAAAGGAGAAAGGTGCAAAAGGAGGGCAGCAGGAAGCAGAATGCATGTCGGCTTCATCTTGCTCTTGCGACATAGATCTGGAACCCGCCTGGAAGCCGCTAGACAGCAGGGCCGCACCGGAGAAACCGGAGCTCTCGTTGGAGGTGGAGTTGCTGGAGTTGTTGGAGGTGGGTGCCTGCAAAATCTCAAAGGGCTCGTTAAGCCGTCCGAAACCACCCCGAAATCAGCAGTCCTCAATGAGGGGCGCATCGGTCCTGAATCGCACGAGAAGCTGTCGCAAACTGCGCTGGGGGGGCCCACGCTCTGCGCAGTAAGAAGCGCGTTCCCTGCCTGTCCGTGGCCGGCGAAGGCTCCCCACGGCCTCTGCGAGGAGCTCAAGCACAAAGAGGCGCGCGAATCTCGAAGCCGGCTCTCGGAGGGCTCAGGCTCGCGAGAGCGGTTTGAATGTTAAACGTTCTACGATAAGAGAGAGAGAGAGAGAGAGAGAGAGAGAGAGAGAGAAAAGAATCACAAAAAAAAACGACCGAGAAGCGAAACTGTGCCGCCGATTGTGTGACCACGGACGCGCCTCCATCGCGCATAGGCCCCATGGCGTTTCTCTGCTCGAGCACTAAAGTGTCAAGACCGGGGAGGAGCTTCAGAGGAAACTTCAGGAGCGATCCTTCTTCTCTCTCTCTCTCTCTCTCATCTCTCTCTTTTTTGGAAGGAGAGGGTTCTGTGGGCTTGCTGTTTATGCGTTTGCTCAATAAGAGCCTCTAATATCGCTCAGATGTGGGTAGCGTAGGCCCTGTAGGCCCTGTAGGCCCTGCCCTGCCCTGCGCCTCAGCAGCACCAGGAGCTCCAGGTCGCTCAAGCTGTCGAGCTGTGCCAAGCAGCTGTCGCCGTCGTCGTCATCTTTGCGAGCGCCAGCGCGGCTCGCGCTCGCGGGGCTCGCGAGATCTCTGAGATCTCTGAGATCTCTGCCGTGTCCAGCGTGTCCAGGCTGTCCAGGGAAGGTGACGTTCAGACCCCTCTCCAGCTCGGGAACCTCCGGAGCCTTTGGAGCTTCTGAAAGAACCTGCAGAGGCCGCTCAGTGAAAACGCAGATGTGAAACTCCTCTATAAAATTTTAAAAGCGCCCTTATAAGGCCCACTCCTTGTCCACGGACACCTTCTGAACGACGTTCACGACAGAGCCCTGGTACACAAAACCCAAGATGCACACACACACACACACACACAAGATGCAAAACACAAGATGCCACAAGCGACCACAGAAGAAAACAAGAATGCCCAAAGCAGGCCCCCGCCCCCTGGCCCCCACCCCCTGGCCCCCACCGCACCTTAGTAAGGACGTGGTCACACAATGTCACATTGTGTCGCACAATGTCGCACAGCACAGTTGATACAAAATGACGGGAGAGGTAAAACATGCTCTCGCACGCAGGCCGTGACGGACAGACGGACAGACAGACACACACCGATAGAAATACACTTTTGAAGGTGGGGGGAGCCGAAGAGGAGCCGAAGGAGCCGAAGGAGCCGAGAAGGGGAGCCGGAAGGAGCCGAAGGAGTGGAAAACGGGACCAGGGTCACGAGAGGCGCTCGCGAGGGCCCCCCCATACGTTTCGACCAGTGGCTCCTTCCGAGCAATTTCAGCAAACTCAGAGGCTAACACGCAGGTAACACAGCAAAAGACTCCTCTTAAAGTCATTCCCGGTTTTCAACTAGTGTTAAGCGGCGCAGCCTGCGCCGTGAACCCAACACAAATGCCACCGCTTTTTCAAATTTTCAGGGATACCAGACCTGAATACGAAACGACTTTTTCCATGTCACAACATAGGCCGATCAACACTATCTGACGTTGTGACGTTGGACTCAACGACTGTCTCAAGCCTCAAGCAACTCTCGAAAAAACTGAGCATGCGCAGCATGCGCCGAGTTCGAAGTGCTGCTGGGGCCTTCTGAATGCCATGGTGCCTGGCAAGAGGGCCGCTATGAGCCACTTGCAAATTTCGTACACTGTCGTACACATCTTTCAACATGTCTCTCTAAGCCCACGGCTCCAATGTCAGCGGCGCCCCGTCCGGCAGCCGCTCCAAACCAAGGGCCGCGGCCAGAGCTGGCGCAAAGGCCCCGGGGAAAATGCGGGTTGCAGGGTTGCAGATACAGTGCATGCTCGAAGCATCACCATCAGAAACGCGAACAACTCCGAACCTCCACTCCGGCGGGCGCGCCAAGTAGGTGTCACACACTCCTCCAGCCTCAGAACTCTCACATTCGTGGTCTCACATGGTCTCACGCTCGCCGCGTCGCCGCTTAAGAGAGAGGGAGACGAGAGAATGGTCAGTGGGACGAGACGGAAAAGAAAGCAGAGGGAGGGAGACTTAACGAAAGCAGAGAGAACGCAAAGAAATCGCCAAAGGCAATGAGGAAGAGAAGACAAAGGAAACTCACTGTAAGAACTTCTAGCGCCTAACGCAGAGATGTCGACGCGGAGAGGGAGGGAGGGGGGGAGAGAGGCATAAGCAGAAACAAGAAGAACCTCAATGCCTCAATGCCCGAGGGACGTCCTAGCGGTCTTCGACTGTGGCTGGAGCACGGACGGATCGCATTAGCGTGTCGCCATGCTTTCGTTTGCCTCGGCTTTCGTGTGGAGTCTGAATCTGAGGGCTCAATGGCCCAAACGACCTTTCAAAGCATTCCCAGAGGATCTTCTCGACGGCCATCCATCCACAATAGGATAGCAAAAAATGCTATGACCGCGCCCCGTTTTCCCGGTACTACAAGGTTACTGCCAATCTTGATCCCCTCTCCCCGAAGCACCCCCCCCCCCCCCCCCCCCTCCCCCCAGAAATATCATTGCTGTCATGCTCGCTGTCACCCCTTGACCCTGAGGCATCTGAATGCCGTCGCAGTGTTTTACGCCTGCCATGCATCTGCCAGGAAGTAGAGATCAAGCCAGAAATGTGCTGGCTGACCACCGCGAGCCCAGATACACATCACAAGAATGCCCCATGTGGGACGGGAAGGGCGGGAAGCAAGAGAAGAAATCATCATCCCTTGTCATTTGGGCTAGAGCCCGAAAGGATTCGACGATCGACAGTTGGTTCAATGGCTCCTGCTGCACTTGTTGCTCACGACGACATCACAACTGTTTGCACCGCTCCAGTGCAGCAATAGGGGGGTCATTGCTGTCATGCTCGCTGTCACCCCTTGACCCTGAGGCATCTGAATGCCGTCGCAGTGTCTTACGCCTGCCATGCATCTGCCAGGAAGTAGAGATCAAGCAAGAAATGTGCTGGCTGACCACCGCGAGCCCAGATACACATCACAAGAATGCCCACCCCCACAGCCCTGGCCAACGGCAGCCAGTGGGCGTCATTGGCCGCCAATTTTGGTTGCAAGAAGCCAGCCTAAGGGCTAAACGGCACCTTGCTCACGCCTTCGAGCCCCTTCCATGGACTGGCTGTCAAGCACTCCGCAAGCCTGGCCATATCAGAGGACAGCGCAACCACTCCTTGTGCGCCCGCAGCAACTTTCGCAAGGAGGTACCCGATCAGGAACCATCAGCATGAAGCCCGGATGGCCCAGACGGAAGCGGCAGATTCATGAAAAAGCAAAACTCTGTTGATGGCACCGGTACAAGGCTGACTAGTTTGCACTTCCAGCTCAACTCAACGTAGAACGGCGGCTAACCAGCTACAACCAGGCCAACAAACCAAACAAATTCCAAAAACAAAACAACAACTCTTATGCTCCAAAGCTCGCAGGCACTGCTGATGCACCCGCTGCCATTGCCGCCGCATGTAATGTAGACAGCAGTTGGCGGAAACTTGGGGTCTTTGGACGTCTCTTTGTCTTTGTCTTCCGGACGCGAACACCTCTGGATGGTTCATCGCTTGGGTTTTCTGCTGAAGGCACTAGCACCAAGTGCAGGTGAAGGTCACCTGCCATCGTCAGAGCTGCGACCTTGCGAAGCAACCTGTTCAATGATGTAGAAGACCTCCCCTTGGCTGCCGCGCCTTGCCAGACTGCTGAGTCCACCAAGATGACGATCCTCGAACAGTGTCTGCTCCGACAGCGCAAGAGCCAGCGCAGCAACACCACGAAGGCTTCACCCTCCAGAATGTTGATATGCGCGTCACGCTTCTTCTTGACGCTGAAGACGTGCACGAAAGCAGCTTTCGGAAGACCCAGCTTGTGCTCGACTCCTGTCCTCGCCGTGTAGTCCTTGCCGCTGTCCAGAGTGACAAAAGTGCCTTGCTTCTCAGCAACTCTTGCCAGCTCGCGAACTTTGTCTTGCGGTAGCCGGGCCACTGATGCCCCGAATCCATACTCTGTGCTCGCGTCGGACGCAGCCACCAAAGGAAGGAATGGTCTGCAGAGGTCCGCTTTCCAAAAGACACCAAGAACCAAGCCCATTAGCAGCTCCTCCACGACCTCGGGCGGAATGCGGTGCAGGGTCGTGTCTTCAGGATACTGAACGAAGGAGTAAACCTTCCGGTAAGTAGACAACTTAGGACGCCTCAGCAAGTCGTACCACTGCAGCATGCTCAAGGCCGAGTGAACCTCCTTCGGTGAGGCATAGGAAGCGTCCGCAAGGGCCAACACGAGGATGGTGAGCGCCAAGCATCGTGCCGGGGGCGCCGCCAAATGTGTGCCACCTTCCAGCCGCACGCCCACGCAAGTGGCGTCCAGCTCGTCGTCCACATCCTTGCCTGGGTGCTTGATTGCCCCACGCTCCGCCATGACTTTGTCGAAGCGCTGCGCGCAGCTGCTCGTCACCCCAGGTCCAGCATTGCTGAAAAACATTGCATCGTCTGTGGCAGCAGCAAAAACGTGAACAAACTGGGAAGGAGTGGGCGCATCGCACGCTAGCACGCAATCCTCCCCAAGGCCTGCCTCCCGACAGCACGAGAGCAGCACCTCTTGCGCAATATGGGATGACCAGGAGAAGCCCATGGGCCAAACGTGCGACACAGGAAACAACCTCTCCGCGTCATCAACGGCCGACTGCGCATGCAGTGCCACTTCGGATTTGCTCATGCCGCCGTACTGCTCAAGCTCCTCAAGGCTGACGGGCGGCCTGCCCATCCATTCCCGGAGTTCTTCCGGCAGGGCCAACTGGTCAAACCAACACTTTGCATCACGTTTGCTTACGCGGAGAGGCTTGTCCGCACTGGCCTCCATATGCAGCAAAGCCGTCGGTGAAGCCAGATGCCGTGGCGGGAAGGGCTGGGCAGCAGCCTGCGAGACACGTTTTCCATGCCAAATCTCGCGCAGCTTTCCAGTGCCAGGCTTTGTCACCACCAGCACAGTGCCGCCACCGGACACAGAAGTGCGCAGGCCTAACGTTCCACTGCGCAACTGCTTGGCCACCAGCTTGACGTACTCGGGTCTGTCAGCATCGGGAATACAGTCAAACTGCGCCAAGCCTGGAGGAGGTGCAGGGAAAACGGCAGAAGCATCTGACAGCAACACGCGTGAGGCTGCAGGCAGGTACGGCAGGGGGTCGAGCATCCCGCAGCTGTCAAGGACGTCCACGGCATCACATATAAGAGCTGCATATTTCGGGCCCTCTGGCTTCACGACACCAGGCACCCAGTCC